TGGAGAAACAAAGAATGTGTTTCGTTTGGGAATGGAGAAACAAAGAATCCATTTCGTTTGGCAATGGAGAAACAAAGAATCCATTTCGTTTGGCAATGGAGAAACAAAGAATCCATTTCGTTTGGCAATGGAGAAACAAAGAATCCATTTCGTTTGGCAATGGAGAAACAAAGTATTTTTGGGGGAAATGATGGGTACTTTCTGGACAAAAAGAGGCCCTATATATTTTCATGAGAATGCGGGACAAGGGTCCAGGTACCAGCCCGACCCGTCTGTCCGCTGGTAGCGGAGCCTGTGACGCGATATTGGCGAGACTGTCCAGGAAACGATGAGATGTGTTGCCACGGGACGCTAACTCAGAAACTCTGGAAAAATCAGTGTACCTAAAGCCCGGACTAAGAGACTTTTCAATTCTTTCCTTCATTGCGCTGTTCGTCACTATAGCAAGACAATTAACCAGTAGTGGTATAATATCTAGCTAAATCCTACGTGGTATAACTGCACATTATGTATAAATTTTAATTGTGTAATCGTTTTCGGAATGTTTTACTAGTGTGCTTGTTATGTTTCATGTGTACAATGAAAGAGTGTAACAAACAGTGTTCCCGCCAGGCATGCGTCCTTGTGACCTGGGCTTTATGGCACTTTTTTTTAATAAGGAACAATGTCACTCCCAAAAACCTAGAATGTCCAGGACAAAGATACAGAAACCGGAAGAACAAAGGGCAGCCATCAGGAGGACAGAAACAACTTTGATATTTGTCTTTGATCCAACATCTCCAACAAGTTATGCTGATAAAAAAAAAGGTGAGAAGAAAAATGGGCACAATGTATAGCAATGTGCGAAGCAACTCTTCTATTTTTAAAAAAAAATATAAAAGTGCAAACGGAGATGTACATGTTTTTAAACTTACCTAATTGAGAGAGTTGGCAGATGAACTTCCTGTCAGCGAAGGTACATTGTCCATCGTTCCATGTGTTCGTTAGGGGCCAGTACTCGGCACAGTCCTCGTTATCACCTGCGTTGTCGGGTTGTCCTGGACTCCAAGCTCTGAAGTCGCCCAGAGGAACGCCATCGTCCCACATCCAAACTCCCTCCTGGTGGACATCAGTCAGTCCAAAACGGAAATAAGCGTTGCGGTCGACGCCATTTTTTAGATCCATGAGGAACTCGTTGGTAGTGCTGTCCCGGGGTATGGCAAGGGTTCCCCCGTCTAAAGAACACCTACTGACTGCACCGTTGTAGGTTGTCATGTCGTTGAAGGCCTTAAAGCATCGACGACTATGTTGATGGAAAACGTACCCATTTAGGCAACCTATTCCAGAACGAATAAGGTTATTATTTCAACTACATGCACTTGTGTTTGAAGCACTATGTAGACAATTGTAATTTTGATGTAAAATGGAAACAGTGAATAATGTTAGTTTGGACGGAATGATTGCCGTTTGATTTCATGACGTTTTACCTGGCATATGTAATGTATCAATGACATAAAAATTGACGTATAGACCTAAAAACGTTTTCAATGTACATGATTATGGCACGGAAATTGCAGACCAAAATGAACATAATATATCCCTGCCTTTTTTGCCTTCGACTGAAGGCTATGCCTTCGGAGAAGGCTATGAAATCGCTTTTGCACTGTTTGGCAGATTAGGCACGATAACTCTTGAAGGCAAGGTCCGAGGTTCACGATTTTTGGCAGGCAGGTTGATTTGGGGGTGGCCATTGTCAAGGCAAAAATGGGCTTCGTGGGGGGTTCCTAAGTTACTGTAGTTGACCTTGGTTTTTGGTGTTTTTTCCTTGTCATCAAGATATCTCGAGTATCCTTAAATGGATGTTCATGACTTTTAGTGGGCAAGTTACCGTTGAGAATGCCGAGGTCAAGTTCAAAGATGGGCCCCGTGGGGGTTTCTATGTCACTGCAGTTGACCT